TACTCCAAAACCTAAAATCTCAAGATATTTAAAATTGAAATCAAACCGTTAATCACTTAAAGCAAAAATCATCCACCCTCCGTAACAGTTTGCCGAGGTGGACAAATTAAAATTTATTTTAGCTCATAAAGAGATAAATGCCTAGTCAAAAATATCACTAAGATCCATTCTCAAATAATCTCCTATTATTAAGGATGTGTTATGTGTCATCTAACTGGCGATTTTGCTGCAAAATGACACCGCATGATAAACGGTTATGACTCGGGGCCCTCTGAACCGAGTGCTTTTGCCGCCAAATAGCACCACGAAATATCGGTTATGGCTAGAGCCAATGCGTACTTTAATGACATCAAATCCCTGAGATATGAATCAATAGTATATGATCGATATGGCACAAATGCATTTGTTAACTAAGGTAGATTCAAATTTGTCCCCTTAGACAAACATTCACCCCAGGTCTACAAGATACCCTTGGATGAAGAAATCCGTGGCTACCGACAAGGATCCTTCTATCAGGTTGGGTCGACTATCTCCTCTGACCAAGTAGACCAGGAACTATGATGGCCCAGGACGATAGAACCATGGGATCTTGATCATGTCCATCATCCATTCCCCCACCTTTTTAAGTGCAAGATGGTGCAATTTCTATTTTAAATATCAAATCCTCCAAATTCTTCAAATTCCCAAACCCAAAGCCCATTGCTACTACTATATGCCAGATAACACATATATTCTACATATCTGATTGACGACTAGCCTTAATCGAAAGTTCTCTCTGGTGATCAAGAGGGGTAATTAACTATAGGGGCTTGCGCCTATAGAAAACTAGAATTCAGATCATAAAGTCCTCGCAAAATGAGGGAGAAATCTCTGGGTAGTGTCTTATCTACAAACTTATTTTCCTTCCTAAAATTTACCACGGAACTTAATTCTGTTAAAACTCCCTCGCCGAAAGAAAAACAAATCAGCGGGTGGAGGCTGGGACTGAATTTTTGGAGCCCACAACTGCCATATTTCTTACATTTACATTTTTGTTTTCCATCTTTCATATTAGGTAATATCTCATAATGGCCCCAAACAACTGAGGTCATCCTTCGCCGTTTCTTAGTAACTGTCGCCTCATTACATTGCTCGTTAGAGGGCTCTATAGGTATTTCACAAGTCCAGGCTTCTTCATTTTCATCAAAAGAAGAATTCCCATGAATGTTATTAGAATAATCCATCTAACTTAATAATTAGAATATATTACAACTTCACAATGTTAATTCTAACATATTTGTTAATTTTCTTTTTCAAAAAAATACACATAACACATTGAGACTTTAACTCATTAAATTCTTTGCTAAATGCCAAAAAAAAACTTCTCCAACATAACATGTATGACATAAAATGTATGATTCAGGAAAATAATCAAGAAATCTTTAAGAACAAAGCCAATCATCCTACACTAAAAAGAAGTATGACTTCAATACTTAATGGGTTGAAGGCTTGTTGAACATAAACAGTAATAACTACCAAATAAAAATATAACAGCATTGCTTCAATACTTAATGTGTTGTTGAACAACAACTCAACATAATAACTAGGAGTTTAGGGGTGTCAACTAGGAGCATAACACCATACAACATAACATCAGTAAATGAATAGAAAAACCAATAGAAACTGAACATAAATACCAGAACATAGAGCTCGACTTGGCTCGTTTGCACACATACTGCGATTGATTAAAAACCAGCAAGGATTGAACAACATAACAACAGTAACTGAACAAAAAAAAACAGTAGAAAATGAACAGAAAAACTAGAACATTGAGCTCGACTTGGCTTGTTTGCACACATACCGCGATTGATTAAAAACCAGCAAGGATTGAATAGAAATACCAGCACAAACTGAACAAAAAAATAAGTCTGAAAACAAATTTAACTGAACAACACCTCTTCAAATTTTTGGCCAAAAATAACCCCATACCAGAAAGCATGCCAGTCCAGACATGCATGCCAAACTTTACTAGTTTTTCAAAAAAGAAATCATAAAACAGCAATGTAGCAAGATAACAAGAAATCGGAAAAACCCTAACCCCAAATATTTCTTAAGGAACTTCACTATATTTTGATCAAACAACAAGATAGAAAGACAAATCTCTCCTATGCTCATATATCATGCTTCTAAAAGGAGAAAAAAAGATATATAAGAGATACAAACAGCGAGAGATGTAAGCGTTCCTGTTGAGTCAAACGAGATGTGCACGATGAACACCACAGACCAACAATATGCTAGAGAAGGAGAAGAGAGGAAACCGTTGTCAGAGCGAGGAGATCTGAAGAGAAGAAACATAACTTCGAAAATCCTAGCTGAAGCAGTGAAGGAGAGGAGAGCTGGAGAGGAATAGGATGAAGCGGACGTGAAATGAATACGATCGGATCGGATCCCTAACTTAATCCCGCCGTGTGAAATGAAAGTACGGGTCGAAATGGGTCGGTTATCGGGTTAACCCGGACCAGACACGTAAGTTCATCCCGGTCTATTTTATGAATCTGAACCTGACCCGTTTTTCAAACGAGTCAGGTCCAAACCGAAAATTCCGGGTCGGGTTCAAGTCAGATTTTCATGTCGTGTCAATTATTGATACATTATAAGGAAAAAAAACACCTTCCCATTAATATTATAAAGTCTTCCAAGTATCTTACACATAAGTAAACTTGCTCTTCTTAGCTTCACTAAGGTGCAACACTCCAAAATGAACCACCAACATTCTATGATTGTTTCAATAAAGACTTTGACTAAACATAATTTGTTTGACAATTGTTTCGTGCTAGAAAATTTTTGTTTGGGGAGTTGGTATTTTATGTCTTAGTTTTTAAAAAAAAATATTTGATAAATTCCAAAAAAATTGACCTCGAATAATGAGGTCGACAACTATGTTTTGGACCCTTGATTTAGGTTCATTTGGGCTCAGATTTGACTAATTTTTTATGTCGTTAGCCTCGTCCCTTTGAGATCTTCAATTTGACTACAAGTTTATTAATATCATAATTTAGATGGTCCCGATTTTAATTTTTGAAGCTTCAATGTCATATTTGCAATGAGATTTGTGTTATATATATAATTTAAATCATTGAAATTTTGAATAATAATAATATAGCAAAGATTTAAATACACATATTACTATTATGAACTTACATATATTGTAAGTACACATTGACATTTGATTATAGAATATTTAAGTGCCTAAACCATATAAAAATATATGTATAAATGATTTATATTTTTTTCTTAAAAATTGATTTCAATGATATTTTTAATATGAGTTAAAGATTTATATGTCATATAACGAACTAAATATCGAATTTTAGGTTCTTTATATGTAAATGCATAAGAATTATTTGATATATTTGCATTTTATATGTGATATAGTGCAAATAATAATAATTTTCTTAAGATTAAAATTAATAATAATGGGGAAAAATTTTCTGGTTATTTTCAAAATTTATTATGTCAGGATGAGATTAATTTTACAATATTCTCTTAATATAATTATGCTATTAAAAATATAGTTAAATTTAAAAGATAAATATAATTGAATTATTGGATAGTACAAATAGATAACGGCAATTGGAACCAAAGTTTGAAGCTTAGTTTGGTGTAGAAAGATTTGAACTTTCAAATCAAATTCATACTACTTTTTATGGGCTTCTACTTCAATAAGTAGCCCAAATGGACATATTTAATCAATAATTTGTATGAGGTGTGTATATATATACATAGAGAGAGAGAGAGAAATCTTAGAATAAAACGTTGCTAAATTTAACCATTTAAAAATATTACACTACAAAAAAATAGTAATTTATGGCATATTTGAAGTGGATTTTAGGGAGGGTTTTTTATTGTTGAAAATGGCTATAAATTTGAGACAAAATTTTGGTGATTTTTTCTGTGGTGGATTTGAGGTGAAAATTTTCGACACAAATTTTTTGCTAAAATTGTCATTAAAGACTTTGTTATAATATAAATAAATAAAATAAGCTTTTTAAGTTGTTTTGTCTCTGTAGCTAGGCCTGTCAAAAGTTGACACGACTCAAAACCCGACCTGGACCCATTTTAGGAAAATATGGGTTCTGGTCAACTCGTTTGTAATGCAGGTCGGGTCCGGGTTCGAATTTTTGACTCGTATGAGAACGGATCGGGTTCAGGTTGACTCGAAAACCCGCAGGTCAACCTGGCTAACTCGGGGCATTAAGGCTTGACCTTAGATTCTTGGGCAGTCCGGTTAAGCACGAGTAGCTAATCATGCTAGAGATGGCATAGACAGCCGCTCAGACGGAAGATCGCCCAGGCAATCCTATCAGGCTCGAGCAATGAGCAGTCCGGTCAGGAGCAGGCAGCGGGCAGCCCGCCTGACTAGGCAAAATTTGAGGGTTTTTTTTTTGCTAAAATTCCATTGCAAATCCAATAGAAATATTTGAGGAGAATTATTTTGGCAGCAAATCGTATTTTGCAATGGATTTGTCCGCCATCATTAAAAAAAAAAAAAAATTACTTTCTTATAGTATTAGCAGGAATTTTATGTTAAATAAGGATGAATAACTTATGTTTAATGACGTACTTTATAGCAAAACTATATCAAATCCAAGTCATAAAAAGAAAAAACAATTATAAACACAGTTAGTAAGATTTATTAAAATAGTATTAAATATTCTAATTAGTTAGCTTAATTAATTTATAAATAGTCGGTTTAAATAGAAATACCTATAAATAAGTCAAAATTAGTTAGATTTATTGAAATATGATTAATTTTTATAATTAATGAGCATAATTAATCTATTAATAGTCATTTTAAATAGAAATATCCTAAATTAGTGCCTCTTGATATTCCCTAATTAATTACTAATTAAGGAAACATAGAACAACCGGTGGCCTCCAACAAAAAAACAATAGTTATGGTTGCATCTATAAAATTGCATGAAAGCTCCATCTTTGATGAATCTCAAAATCAATCGGCAATGGACAACCTCCCAGTAGACCTCGTCGTGGAAATTCTCTGTCGACTTAGCTTCAAGGATATAATGAAATGTAGATGTATATGCAAGTGTTGGCAAGCACTCATCTCCAACCCCAAATTCCTCCAATATCGTCGGCAGTTGCGATTGGAGATGCAATCTACATCAAATTACAAGCAGTCTTGTTGTCCCATCCGACTTCTCACTTGCAGCGACTATTATGACCCATGTATTACCGACATTGCTAAAAAAGGTAAAGCACACCTCCACCTATATACTTTGAACAATATTAACAACGAAGGCTTGGGAAATTTGAATCTCGCACCTCTGAACAAAAGAGAGTTAAAAAGCAACACAGAAATTGTGTCTTCTTCCTTCTTAAAACTCGTCCTACTCTATGATAATCTTAGCGAATTCCTCTGCCTTCACAATCCCTCGACTGATGAGTTCATGACATTGCCAAAGAATTCTGACCAAGAAGATTTTTGGCTTAAATGCGTGGGGCTTGGACGAGTCGAATCGACCCAAGAGTACAAGGTTGTACGTGTTGCAGAATATTGCAGGGGGGTGGTTTGTGAGGTGTTTACCCTTGGCTCTGATTACCAATGGAGGGAGGTTGATGAACCTCCTATTAATATTTTTGATCCAATTCCATGTATTTTTGTCGCCGGTGGAATGTATATGTTCGAAAAAGATTATGTTGTAATTCTGAGGTTTGATATTGAGGCTGAGAATTGGATGAAGATCCCACTACCCAACGATTGTCCGCGGTACAGGTCCTCTTGGACAATTCGAGAAGTAGATGGTTTATTTTGCATGACTGGTATTAACACTGGAATTATTAGTATGTGGGTTTTGAAAGACTATGAAAAAGGAGTATGGGCTCTAGAGAAGAGAATCATCATTGATTATAATTTTAGAGAATTTTTAAATGATGATGTTGAAGGAGAGACATTAATATATCCTTTGTCTTTTGATTATGGGGATGGCAAGACGCTGCTCATGTGCGCTTATTCAAATAAGACAAAATTGCTCTCCTATGATCCCATAACTCTACATGTTGAGCAACTACCAAATCCGCGTTCTAATTCT